GTCCGACATACAGGACGCAATGTCATAGAGGGCAGCTACAAATAAGCAGTTACACATGTTACACATAATTAGCTAACCAACACCATGAATCACGGAGGTAGTTGACTCGGTATCAATACACAATCTGGCAGTTACAACTCCTAGGCAGTCAGCTTCGATAACTGACCGGATTACCAGGTAACGGTTTATTATTACTGTTTTAAATACACAGAGCATCTAGGAAAAAAGGTACGTTTTTCCCCTAAGAAGAGAGATATTCTTATTTTCAGATAGATATTCTCATTTTTCAGACAACACCCTTGTTGACTTGAGCGTCGGAGTATCTTTGCAGGTACCCAGCCCACCTTGTTCAAAGGAGACAGAAAAAAAGGTAACACAGTGAAAGCAGCACAGAGAGACAGCGCAGAGCAAGTTTGTTAAGTTCGTATCTCGTTCTCCACACCCCTACCGAAACACTAATTAATTAAATATCACAGTATCATATAATGTAAAAGTTACTAAATAAAAACTAATAAAATTGCATCATTTTCAATGAAATTAGTTTAGTAATAAACAATTCATATAAAGCATTATACTTAACAAGAAAAAATTTACTATTGTGATGTAATTTTTCAAGAAATTACTAAAATGAATAAATTGAAGAAAACATATATAATTCAGTTATACTTAAGAAACGTGACCTTCTCTTGAAAAAAAGTGATGCTCCACAAGAATGATTTCAACTTTTTATTTTTTTTGTAACACAGGAGTCATGTTTAACATACAATATTTTATATCATATAATTTTTTATACACTATTTTATTTCATATAATTTTTTTAAAAGACGTGCTTGATAACCACTTCTTCAATATAAAAAAAATAGAAATTGTACTCACTAAATAAAAGCTTTAATACAAAAGAAAACAGAAAAACATGTTTATCAAATACAACTTTAACAAAAGAAGAAAAAACATAAAAAATATGCTTGTTAAATATAATTTTAGTAAAAAAAAATATAGAAATCATATTTACTAAACAAGGATCTAATAAAATGAATAAAATTATAAAAAAATAAAATTTTATATTTAAAATAAGACTTCTATTATGTGAACAATAAAAGAATTAAAATGGTAAGTATGAAACATTATTAAAAAAAATATTCCAAAAACAGTAATTTTTTCATTTATATATGTAGTTTATAGTATGAATGGCAAAACGGATCAGACTAGGCTGACCCACACAAGTTGAATTTTACAACTCAATTCATCAAGCTATTAGGTTGTAAAATTGGTAGGCTTTGAACTGTTGGACGAATTGTCATACTACATTTGAATAATTTATCACTTATATAAATATAATATCTCTGTCTACATTTGAATTTCCTAAAATGTATAAAAAATGTTCATATTAGACTAAGTATTGTTGTAGACAATAACGAGTTTTTTGCATTTAGTTTTCTTTTAATAATGTTGAACTATTAAACTGCTGACTGGGTGGGATGGATTATATCGAGTGTTGGGTTGAAGAGATCGTCTCAATCTACTTTTTTGGTTGAATTACTAGACTGTTAGACTGATCTATTGAACTCGACCATTTTTGTCACCCATAGTTTATGTTACATAATTGTATAAAGAAACTAAATTATCTTTGTATGTATTACATTTTTAAAAAATATGACGCAACGATGAGAATATATTTTTGTTCATGATGATAATTCTTAATAACTTGTGATTTGTGCGATAATTTCGGGTCCGGTTTTTATTCTTGGAGAATGGAGTTAAAAGAATAACGTTACTTAACATTATTACATGGTGGTCTTGGAGGAAGAAAAGATAGTGTGATTAGTTAAACGGCATCACGACATAGAGGAATTGAAGAACGTAGTTTACACAGTTACACATACCCCACACCACACAACATAAATCATTGTCACCACATTCATTATATTTTGTAACATAAAAACTTTATTTTTAGAGGCCAACCCACCATTGGCTACCACCTTAAAACCACCTTAAAACCACCTTATCTGTTCAACTTGACAAAATTTTATTTTTCCCCCAAACGAGTATCTATCACTCTCCATTGTTACTTGTTAGTGCCACTATACCAAATTCAATAATTAATGCTCTTTCACACAACCATACCCAATCCTTGTCTTATACCCAATATTCTTCAATCTTCCTCTGTTCAAAAGGACCCACCACTAACCAACACTTTTCATCTTTCAACATCTCACATATATGGAGATACTCATCAAAAGAGGGTACAAAAAAATACCCTTGAGCCCTCTATACAATTGAAGGAGGCCATTGCTTCATGCAACCCCATAATTACTTACTGTACCCCACAATATCATGAATGTTAACTGCCACCCCGTTGCCGCTGAGAAAAAAGAGAAACAAAATGCAGAAAGCATAAACTCGTTCCCAAAAGTTCTTTGCGGAATGTATTTCATAGTTTTTAGAAAGCTGTTTCCATAATACATATTCATATTGCTGATGAATTTGCCAATTAAGTGATAAGATTATAGCGGTGCCTCTAAAACCTAATCAGAAAGAAATTTTTACAAAAGATTTTATGTTCAAATCTAACAAAAGAATTTCAATTTTTATGAATACAGTAAATATAAGTGATTATTGAGTAAAGATTTAATATTCGTTGATAATACTAATTGTATTTATAAATTAACTGTGAATCTATGTTCCTAGAATAATACTTTGTTTGAGTATAATAATAGAATAATTAATAATAATAATATAACAAAAAGTATAATACTAAATTGTTGATATTAGTTATGCTATGAATATTGTAGGAAGTTTAATGAGTCTTGTTGAATAACACTCTTTGATATGTTTATTGGTTAGATAGAAACAAATATAATATATGATGGATATGTATTTTGGAAACTTGGTCGAGAAGAAAATATATGCATTCAAGATATATTTTATGCATTTTGAAAATTCTATTATGAAAATCTCATTTAAGAAATCTTGTTTTGAAATTTTTTGTTCCAAAAATTCCTAAAAGTTTGTTCTGGAAAGTTTATAGAGTATGTAATCTAGAAATGACTTGTATGAAGAGTAAAATAGTCGTTTTGGAGATTTGAGGGGTGTGTGAAGAATTTGTTCAGGTGCAAGAAGTAAACGACATTAAAGAAGGTTCTCGAAAGGCCCTGGAAAAACGTAACCAGGGCCTAGTAGTGTTTGTAGTTGCCAATTGGTTCATGGTTCGGTCTTCTTTTACACTCTGTCCTTAGAAGAAACGAACATCTAAGTACAATAATAGGCAATGTTTTAATTTTCTTAGGTTTTTCAACTTTGGTTTATTGATTTTTTTTCTTTCAATTTTGTTATACTACTAAAGGTTCTTAATTTATTCAACTTTTTAATGAAAAGCAGTCAATATAATTATTTTTTGCTAATAATAATATCGAACATGAATAACAAATAATTTGACAAAAATTATAAATGTAAGGAACGCCGTCATCATAATTTCTTACAAAAAAAAAATTGTGAAGGTGGACCAAAGTAGAAGATTTTAATGGTCTGGATGGAATCACAGGTACAGCTAGACTTTCACAGATGACAACAAAACAAAAGAGAAGTCTAACAGAAGAAGCAGCATGCAAAGTGCAAATGTGCAACACCCTTGCTTTTTAGGGACACTAACACCCTAACCAATACCAATCACATTTCTCATCAATTTTTTTAACGTTATTCCTTCCCATCTTTTTTACCGCTTCTCTCTATTTATCATTTCTATTTTGCTTAATTACAACGCCATCTCTTCTCCACAAAACCATTAACTCTGAGATTTTCTTTTTAAAGAATTAGGGAAACCAATATGAACAGCGGCACCCAAATCCGGAGGTCAAATTTTACAGAAAAAAGAAGAAAAGATACTGTTTGAAAATGCCATTCTTGGTAAATTTTGAAAAAAGAGATAAAATTTCAATTTTCTCAAAAATAATTTTACCACTCCCTAATCTTTAAACCTAATTAGAAAAAAAAGTTTTAGTTATGAATATTTCCATTCACTTCGTAGTAAGTTGATTCCATTTTTAAAACATATCCAGTTTATAAAACTTGTCAAAATACGTGTATATGACATGAATGTCAATGTGAATTTGATTATTGTTCAAGGAACATTTAATTTCATAAAACCACTTAAAAATATTGTTAATTATGTGTAAATGTAAATTGATTTTCTTTAGGAAACATATAATTTCATAAAACCTCGTCCCTGAATTTGGTTTTACTATGTAAACGAATTTAATTCGATAAAACCGCGTGTATTAGATAATGTGAAGTTGTTTTTAGTTTAGAAACGTATATAATTAGTCAAACACGTGTAAATTACTTACTTCTATAATCTTTAGTGCATTTAATCTATATTTTTTATTATATGAAATAAAAAACAAAATCATTGCATATTTTAACGGCAACATTGTTATATTAATATTAAGTTGTCTGAGAATGAAAGGGTTGGAAAGTGGGGGGTGAGTAACTGGTAAGTAGGGCCACGATCCGTTGGATAATTGGGTGTAGCCGGCAAAACCGCCGTTGATTTTCCTAATTCCGAGTTACAACGTTACATTACAATGTATACAACAAAACTGGTCCCACACATGGGTCCCACCTTCGACGTTAAGGTTTCTCCTTCCAAGCTGTCACAGCACACAACACAACACGATCTTCCCTTCTTACATTACTCCCTCTCCACTACACTCATGACTCACCGCTTCCTCCGTCACTCTTTATAAACCCTCTCTCACACGTTCTTCATTCACAATACTCTCTTCTTCGTTTTCCTTTCTTCTCATCGTTTCTCACTATAAACTTCTCTATCTCATATGGCTGAGGAGGCTTCAAACCAAGCGCCATCTTCTCAAGAGTCTGTGGTGCAAGTGGAGGAAGTGGTCGTAACTGATGTTCTTCAGCCTGTAGACAAAACACCACCACCGCCAACTACAACGACCAGTGTTTCTGTTGAGAGAGATTCACCGCCACAACCTGAGCCTGAGGCGCCGGAGAAGAAGCCTGTTGAGGAAACCGTCACTCTCGAGACTCACCTCTCCAAACCCAGCAACGCTGATGACAGCACCAATGATGAGAAAGACCCTGAATTCAACGAAGAAAGCACCAAACTTTCCGACCTGTCGGAAAACCAAAACAAGGCACTCCAGGACCTCAAGAACCTCGTTCAAGAAGCTCTAAAAAATCATGAGTTTTTCTCCAAAGAAGAAAAGAAGACACCACCGCCAACGGCTTCTGCTGCTGACAAGGAAGAACAACAACAGCCGCAGCAACAAGAAGTTGTGACTGAAGCTGCCCCAGAAAAAATCGAGGAGGAACCTGTTGAAACAAAGAAAGAGGACGAAGTTGAAACAAAGAAAGAGGAACAAGTAGAAAAAGAAGAAGAGAAGAAGGAGGAAGCGAAGGAAACGAAGGATGATGCTACTGTGGATGATGATGGAGCAAAAACTGTGGAGGCCATTGAAGAGACCGTTGTTGCTGTCTCTTCATCTGTTCAGTCTCAAGCTGAAGAGAAAGCTTCTGAAACAGAAGCCAAAGAGGAAGCTTCGCCGCCACTTCCACCCGAAGAAGTTTCCATTTGGGGAGTGCCACTTCTTGCTGACGAGAGGAGCGATGTGATTCTTTTGAAGTTTCTGCGCGCGAGAGAGTTTAAAGTTAAGGAGGCGTTCACCATGCTGAAGAACTCGATCCGGTGGAGGAAGGAGTTTGGGATGGAGGAGCTGATTGAGGAGAAGCTGGGGGATGAGTTGGAGAAGGTGGTGTTCATGCATGGCTCTGACAAGGAGGGACACCCCGTGTGTTACAACATATACGGGGAGTTCCAGAACAAGGATTTGTACAGGAACACTTTTTCCGATGAGGAGAAGAGAGAGAAGTTCCTCAGATGGAGAATTCAGTTCCTGGAAAAGAGTATAAGGAAGTTGGATTTCAACCCTGGTGGCATTTGCACCATTGTTCAGGTCAATGATCTCAAGAACTCTCCTGGACCTGCCAAGTGGGAACTCAGACAAGCCACAAAAAGTGCCCTACAATTGCTTCAAGACAATTACCCTGAATTTGTAGCCAAACAGGTACTCTCCTAAACTGTTACAAATAATTGTTTCTAATGATAAATTGTTCAAATTTTGAAATGTGTGGATGTGCTTATTCCAAATTGAGATTTTAGATGAGATGTAGTATCTGATTATCTCCGTAGTTCTGATTATCTATTTATTAGTCTTTTTGGATGCTCCTTTGATTCCCCAGCATGAATTTGAATGATTAAATGCAAAGATTGGATGCCGCGCACACAATACACATGCTAATCAAATTAAAACGTGTGTGGTTTTAAATCCTCGTTTTCGTTTTGGTTCAGGTTTTCATTAATGTACCATGGTGGTACCTGGCAGTGAATAGGATGATAAGCCCTTTTCTTACTGTAAGGAGCAAGAGTAAGTTTGTCTTTGCTGGGCCTTCTAAATCAACGGAAACCCTTTTGAGGTGAGGACATAAAGTTTCAATTGTTGTTTTTGGTTTGGTTTATATTTGGGTTGTTGATGGTTTTGATGTGTCTGTCTCTTTGCACTTTCAGATACATAGCCCCGGAGCAGCTTCCGGTGAAGTACGGTGGATTGAGCAAAGATGGGGAGTTCGCAAATACCGATGCTGTCACAGAAATCACAGTGAGGCCGGCAGCAAAGCATACCGTGGAATTTTCAGTCACCGAGGTGGGTTGCCCATTGCCTTTTTTCGGAGTTGATAGGTTTTTGAGAACCAAATAATGCAGCCTCGGAATGGGGAATCTTTCATAGGATTCCCTGTTCTCGATATTTTATGCCACAAAATGTGCAGGCCTTGAAGAAAGTTAAATTTCAGGAGCAAATTAATCAATACACCGTATATTAGTAAAATTAAAAATGAATACGATAAATTCGGTAGAGGTTTGAAATAAACATAAAAGCTAGCTTCTTTTCTTAGCTATCTTTTGCAGGGAGGTTGAAATTGTCACATTTTATTTCATATATTTCTCAATAACCATTCTTTAGAGCCAAATTTCTACTCGTGCTCAGGAAACAAATAAAGTGGACCACTTTTGATGTTTGATAAGCTAGGTTCTGCAAAAGATAAAGTAACGTTGAATGTTAAATTTGTCAGATATATCAATAATGATTGATGACAGAAATTGATGTTCGATCAAATGCAACCAACAATAAGGGAAACACGGGAAGAAAACTTGAGAGAAAAAAGAAAAGAGGAGTAAAAGTCCGAGAGGACAAAAAAAATTCAACAGCCCATAAACTCTATCAAGTATAGATAACTAATTAATGATTATGATTTTGATATTAATGTCCATCAATGTATAAGGTTGCATATTTGAGTTCTACATGTTATTGTTATTATTAGAAGCTGTAATAGGACTTATACCTGCAAATTAAGTCCACGTATAGCAGTTGAAGTCCTACAATTGATGAATAGATAGAAACATGATGAGAATGTTTGGCAGAATGGTTTTATTTACCTATGTTTTGTGCATGTGTGATGGGAACGTGCAGAACTGTTTACTCTCTTGGGAGCTGAGAGTAATAGGGTGGGAAGTGAGCTATGGTGCAGAATTTGTACCAGATTCAGAAGGAAGCTATACAATAATTGTCCAGAAGACTAGAAAGGTTGGTTCATCAGAAGAACCAGTGCTTTGCAATAGTTTTAAGGTTGGTGAACCTGGAAAAGTTGTTCTCACAATTGACAACACAAGCTCCAAGAAGAAGAAGCTCTTGTACCGTTTGAAGACCAAACCTTCACCCTCAGACTAAAGTTATCATTATTATGTTTATGTTTAGGTGGGAAAGGGAAGAACAGTACCTGCATTGGTTGCTTACATTCCTGCATCAACTTTTACCAAGACACCAGAGCTTCAAAGATTAATCATGACTTTCCTGCTGTTCATATATGAATATAAAGTTTTTGTTTTGCTTTTTTTTGTTTCAATGATTATTATTATTATAATTCTTATGTGTTCAACCATATCATATAATTATATATACCCTTTCTGTGTTTCTCTTGGTATGATTATTTATTGTTGTTGTTATCACTGAAGATAAATATCAAGGTCCGTTTTTGAATTTGGGGTGTCTTTTGAGTTGTTCTTATTCATATTTTGGAGAAGTTGTTGCTCCATTTGTATGTTATGAATATCATGTAAATTTTGGTGGGACCTCTATCTGTGTCTCTCTGTCTGTACCTAAAGCATGAAGTGTTTGAGAGCTGTCATGATCTGTGTTCCCATCAGAGAAAAGAAAGTGATGATGTGAATGTCTATAATGGCTGTGTCACGTTGTTATATTGTGGTTATGATTCAAAAAGCTCATTGACTCACTTTCATTATACCAACTTAAAACCATTTTTGGATTTTTCTTTCGGTGTTCTAAACTTGGGTTGTGAAATAAATTCAGTTTTTCTTGACATGTTTTGAAAATATATGCATACACTATCTGAAATGAATGTTTTTTTTTAATGAAAGCTAGATCAAGGTTTCTTTTACAACTCAGTGTATAAATTCAAAATTGTTCTTGAACTAAATCTATGAACTTTATTGCTAGCATTTTGTTTAAAATATTTTCAAGGATTCTATCTGTATTGTCATGCCTATCCATTAAAAACAACTAGGTCCCATTAAGGTACATATTGAGAATTGGAATTGGAATCAAATCTTTAAAATTGGATCTGAACATTTCCATTTTTGGTGCATATATCGAAATTGAAAATTTAATTCTTCAATTCTGTAAAATTAAAAATCAGTCTATTCATAAAATAGTTAGTTAACTGAGTTTTAGTTCAGATCTTCAGAATTATATTTCTAGTTATTATAGTTACAAGTTTAAAAAGAATATTATATTTTCTTTATTCTCAAATAGTTGTCATAATAGACGTGCATCATAAAGAAACCAATAAATCTACAAATATTTAGAAAGAAAAATTGATCGTCAGAGCAGATTATCACTCTACTTTAACTTTACAATTTTTTACTTTAATCCCTTCAAAGAAAAACTATTCATTTTAATATTTTTTCCATTACCATTTTGTAAGAACTTAAGTGAATAACATTTTTAAGTTCAGAAACTAAAGTAAAATTTTCAAAATATTAAAGAAAATTAAGGCTGAAACACTAGAAATGATAAATAGATTCGTGACAAATAACTCGTTTTTGTAAATATTGTACCAACTCGTTTTTGTTTTGATAAAAAGTTTCTGAATGCCATCATCCTTCAAGCCTTGTTCACATATGGGAGGATTTGTGAGAGATAATTTGGAGAGAGTGATGGAATGAATTTGAGGAGATTTGAGAATAAATTGTTATTTGTTTGAGTGAATTTGAAGGTAATTGAAAGTAGGTTTGAAAGTAAAGTTTGTGAGAATTATTGTAAGATTTGATTGATGTGACATTAACCTGTTGCTTTTATATTTGATTATATGTTTCTGGCTTTGGAACGTGATCCATTAACAATGTGTTTGTGCTTTGTTTTATTTGTTGGCTGTGTTGTTTTAGATCAACGAAGAAGCCAGCGAATACAAGAGAACTGGATACATAAAATTGGGAATCGAATACAACTTTATATATGTGAGTATGGTTTACTTGTAATCGAATAACTGCATGCATGTTTTTCACCGTGGTATTTTAGAATCATTCGAGCGTAAAGCTGGCTTTTTAAACAAAATCCTCTCAAATCCAAATAACATCACGGGTGATAAAATATAACGTATCTCGCAAATCTGTTTAAATCATTCCTCACAAATCTCTTCAAAAGAACACGTTTTATCCCCCTAATCAGCGTTCACATTTTCTTTTGAACAGGATAATCCCTTCATGCTAACCGAGTATAAGACATCATTTTAAGAATAAAAATAGAATTATAAAAGAAAAGTGTAAGAAAACATTACATTAAAATAAATCTTACTTTTGGTGGGTATTTCTATGAAATTATAATAAAACAAGAAATAACTTTAAAAACATTTTTTAACCAGTGAGAAAGATTATTTTATTTTTCTGTGTTAAATATTTTAGAAAGTATTATCATTGCCATATGTTATATAACTCTTTTGGCTGGCTCCAACTCATGACTCTGGGCTACTACAACTACTTACAACATCCAACCAATCATAAATATCCTTCACATATTTTATTTAATCTCTCTGCTATTAAATTTATATATAATGGTAGGAGACAAGTTACTTAAAAGACTCAAAAGGAGATTAATTTTATTAAGTATTCTCCCAATTAAAAAGGACCATAGTATAAACATGATTAGTCCAAATATTAAATTTATAATAACATTTTCTGACAAATAGCCACTATATTGCATAGCTATAGTTAGAAACTGTTAATGGATTTACTGAAGCAGAAAAAAAAAGATTGAATCTTTGAGTTGCATATGGTAGCCATGAAGAAGAGTGGCATGTGTAAATTGAGAAAATAAGAAGACATTGAAAGAACCCAAAGATATTAAAAGTGGGTGCTTTAACTTTTGTGCACCGAATTTCATCATAAAGACCACTGATTACTCTAAACTAGCTAGCTTTTGATCTGTTTAAAAAATCTTTAGGCACTGTTTGGCTTCTTTTTTCAAACAAACTTTTGATCCTTTTAAGGCATGAAGTGCAGGAGGAGCATGATTTAGACCAAACAGGAGGAGCAATGTTATAGAAATGTTTTTGTTTCTTTAGTTAGACAAAGCCTTCAAACAAAACATCTTACTACTTTTTCCTCCTTCATCATGCCTGTCAGATCAACGATATTCATGTTTCTTCCTGTGTTTGTTATTTTAAGGAAAAGTGGGTTCAAAAATGGTTTAAAGATAAAACACAACAAGTGGAAAAATTCTCAATCATTTTTTTCCTGATTTTAAAAAAATAAAATCTTTTGGAATCCAATTGTTGAAAGTGGCAACAATAAAAAAAAATGTTTTTTTTTCGAAAAGAAAAAGATAAAAGGAAAGGAGATTAGAAAAGAGCAATGGGATCTGAGGGAATCGAATTCTGATGAAAAGAGAACGAAGGAAGGAGAATATTTGAAGTTGAAAATGATACGTCAAATGTTGCAGTCTCTTAACGTTAGGAGTTGTCGATTTCGGTGTTCGCAAGTCACAAGCATTAACGAAGGGACAGAAAAACGATTCTGTGATAAGAAAAAGTGTAAAAACTAAAGTGGCATGGTTTCCAAAGATGTTATGTGTTTTGTTTTGATTAATAAGGAGATGCAACATTCAGAGACTCCAAAAGAAACAAAGTGAGAAAATGGTGCCACTTTAGTTCACTCATTGCTGTTTTTCTTTTGTATGTACCTTTTATCAGCATATGTTTTTATTAAATAAAAAAAAATAAATTGAAATTACTATTGAGATGTAAGAAATATTAAAAAATAAAAGTTAAATTGTATGGTTGTAGAAAAATTTGTAACTACGATCTTATATGTGAAAGAAATATTTTACTGTATTATATATATATATATATATATATATATATATATATATATAAAAGGCTATATAAAACAAAGTCTCGTTAAAAATTATTATAAATTATATAAAAAAGTCATAGCTAATAATGATTCAAACTTAGTTATTTATCTAGTAAATTTATTTATCAGAATTGTGCTAGACTAAAATGTTTAAGAGTAGAAGAGCAGCCTGGGCTTGTAAATTTTGTAGTCTGTGTTTCAGGGTTACTTTCTACACCACCCCACATTGCTCTCTGTACCACCACATTTTTTAAAATTCTAAAACTATCTTTTATATTTTAAAATATCCTACATCTCCACATTTTTTCTTCAATGGATGTCAACATCCTATGTCACATCTGTTAACGGATATGTTACATCCGTTCAAATTTTTTTTAGTTTTTCGTTTATTAATTTAATATTTTTTATATTATTAAGTAAACGGATGTGTCATATTCATAGTTTTTTTTTCTTAGTTCATTAATTTATATATTTTAAATTAATCTATAAATATTATTTAATTTTATTTTAAATTTATTATATAATTATATATAAATTAATTTTATTTTATTTAATAAAATAATAATTATTAATTTAATTTATATATTATTATTTAATTCATTATTATAATATAAATATTATAAATGAAACGGATGTGTCGCATTTTTTTAATTTATTAGTTTATATATTTTAAATTAATATATATATATTATTTAATTTAATTAATAATAATTATTTAATTAAATAAAATAAAATTAGTTTTCGTAATATATTATAGAAAATAAAAAATTAAAGTAATTTATAAAAATAATTAAAATATAATATTTAAAAAACTAAAAAAAAATACTTAAACGGATGTGGTCACATCCTTAACGGATGTGGCACATCCGTTGAATATAATTAATTAAAAAATTGGGTATAGGATGATGAAATAGATGTTAATATCCGTTTTATATCAAGAATAAATTAGGTATGGGACGGTACAGGAAACAATGGATGGTGGTGAAGAGAGCAGTGTTTTAAGATCTTAAATTTGGCCCATATAGATAAAGCATAGTGCCCACGGCCTGCTACGTTTTAAAAAAATTAAAATCATTCATCATTGACTAATGTTTAACCAAATTGGACAAGATTTTCTTTTTATACCCCTTATTTTCTCTAAAAAGTTTGAATTTAGGATAAAATCAATCAACTTCAAACCGAGAGAGTATTTAATTGGTTTGACTTGTTTCTTTGATTTAATTATTAAGTTGGGATAAACTTAATTTATCACATTTTGATTTTTTTATAACAATTTATTGTCTATTTTATGTTGTTAGGAAATGAAATTTATTGTCTATTTTGATTTAGTTCTATGATTGGACCTGTATTTCCACAAACCATATGATGGCAGCTTACAAGCTTCTCTGCGCACACGTCATTGCTTTGCATGTCACTTATCTTCCACCTCTCACACATACAGCCATATATAACTACATCATCACCCTCACTTCATTTCCACCTCAACAATTCATCACTCATGGAGAGAAAAACTTTCAGCTTCATGTTCTTGCTCCTTCTTGTCTTAGCCTCTGGTAAGATGCATATACAATATACAATTCTTTTTCTCTCTATATATATATATATATATGATGTTATTTATGATGTTATTTGAGTGATTAATGTTTTATGATGTGAAATCAGATGTGGCTGTAGAGAGAGGAGAAGCTGAAACTTGTACGACAAAGAACGAAGAGTGGGCAGGAAGATGCATAGATTATGAGGGCAGGTGTCAAAAATGGTGCAGGAACGAAGGTTACCAAGGAGGCTGGTGCAGAGGCCCGCGCTCCTGCTATTGCCTCTTCAACTGTTGAACTTCACAACAAAACCCTTTTCTTATATTATATCATGTTATCACAAATAAATATAGTAGCATCACTGCTACATCATGTTATCACAAATAAATAAGTAGCATCACTGCTACATCATGTTAGCACAAATAAATATAGTAGCATCACTGCTACTATAGTACTACGTTGGACCACACCTCCGATACTATCGAAAATTTGTCTGGAAGAAAGTGTTGTCAGTTTTGAAAAATATATTTGTTTAAGTGTTTTTAAAGTGCATTAGAATTAATATTTAAAGAAAATACAGTTTATTTATTTTACTTAAACTTTTCTGAACAATTTAATCATTTTATTTAATCTTTTGTGTTTTACATGAAATGAATTTATTTTCCATTAAGTACTTAAGTTTGCGTGTTCAATTTGTTTTCTCCAACCATCAAGTATCATAATTGGAACAAAATAACTAACCTAAACACATTATAAGAAACTTATTAAAACTGTAATAAGAGTTATTGTCTCCCATCATTGGCTTAAAATTTGCAAGGTATTGGCTTAAAATTTGCAATGTATTGATTATCATTAAACAATACTTTTCTCTTATTAATTGATTTGTAATTAATAATGACCAGTGTAGTTATTTATTTAGACTAGAACTGAACTAAAAATATAACTAGTTTATTATATAAATAATATTTAATTTTAAAGTGTATCATAAATTTTAAGTAGCGTTTACTATTAAGAAATATTTAATATAAATAATTAACATAAATCTTAATGACATTTAAAGCAAAATTAATAACTATTATTAGTAAAATGTATTCCATTAATAAAATAAATTATAGAAATTATAAGGAGAAGGAAGATAAATACTACTTTTACATCAATCACTCACTATATCATCACACGTGGTCAACTTTTATTTGATGATGAGAGTAGAAAATGATATTTGTAACATGTTTTTCAGCTGTTGTTATGTTGTTTCCATAAGTCAACTTTTATTCATTAGAGGTTTATTTTTGACATTTGAGGGCGGTGCACAAGTCATTATTAGTGATACAAACATGTCTTTGATGAATTTCATCGACAATGTGTTTTCTCAGTCATATTAGTTGTTATGTCGCTTTCATATTATAAAAAATGTCAAAGTGAAGTGCAAAATGTTAGTTGATTGTGTTGAAGCAAGAGATGTGGTAATAGAAGCATGAGAGAATGTCATGGATGTGAATATCAGTCTATGTTTGGTGACTGTGTCAATCGCCTTGAATACACCTGCCGTTTATGGCCTTTATTATTTGAATATGTCAATAATACTTGAATTATTCCATATAATACTTACTTTGTAAAGGCATTGGAAAACAATATAGGAGATCTTTATTCTTATTGGGATTTCATTCACAACATCATTATCTTGCAACATAATAGGATTAAAGCGTCCTTCGAAAAGTCTTAATCTTATGAATGAAGTTTATAAAGGAATAAGATATAGAAGACTTGTTGGGCGAATATCCACGTATGCTTTGAGACTAATTGCTGAAGAATTACAACTAATACAATATATGAGACTGGATAGGATAATATTTTGATGCATACTTAGAAGAATTAGCACGTTTTGACCTTAGTGTCATTCCTTTAGGTGAATTTTGATGTCATGTGGACATGATTGACTATTTTAGACATTGTATCAAATGAATCACAACTAGAGTTATCCATACAACATGAGCTTCATATAGTTGAAGAACGATTTAAGGAGGTTGATATGCTTCATAAGAGTTATCCATACAACATTAGCACGTGGGAGTCAATTTGATCTTCCCCCAATCCTAAAGAATAATATTTAATATAAAATTTATTTCAACTAAACAATAACCATTAAAATTAAAATTTTGCACTTATCTGACTCTGCCATACCGAATAAGCAACATGGTGAATGTAATGTGTCAATACTGAAGCATCCACTAGACCTCCAGGAAATCCACCTTTAGCAACACCTTGATGTTCCTCCTCCTCCTCAATATCATGCTCCTTAAGTGCATGCTCCTCAACTGCATCCTCCTCAAACCTCACATCTCCATGCTCCTCAATAAGAACATTAGGTTGAACTGTTCCATGTCTTCTGCGAACAGAAGTAGTAGGTCTCCTCCTATCACCCTGTAAGAAACTTTCTCCATGATACCCCTCGAGTATGAGTCATATCTATTCTAGATTTTTTTATAAACAACATTACACAAAAAATAACCAATTCAAATAATTATACAACTATAAAATACAATTATATTATTAAATAAATCATGATAACTTAAAAAATAAAATAAAATTGCACTATTAAAAAAATATTAAATCAATTGAAAACAATTAATTTAAATTCAAATCAATTAAACTAATTCATTATAAAATTAAATAATATTATTACAAACAAAATAACTTAAATTCTTAAAAAATTATAAAAAAATTAATTTATTTCAAATTAAATTGAATTAATTGTAATATTTATATCATTAAAAAAATCGTCGTATTTTATAAAATAATTTAACAACATATCTTCAAATTATAAAAATTTAAAAAACTTTAAAACAAATAAAAAAACGTTAAATTCTATAAAATTTAATAAATATTAAGTAATTACAAAAAATTAATTTTAATTCAAAATAAATTTAATTAATTAAATTTTTTACCTAATTGTAAAAATATAATATTTCAGAAAAAATAAGTGACAAAACATCTTTAAATTACTAAAAAAATAAAAAACTTTAAGACAAATTAAACATTAAATAACTGAAAACAAAAAAAATTAATCAATTTAACTAATTCCTTAATATATTATTACAAATAAAAAACTATACATTCTATAAAATTATAAAAATAAAAAATAATTATTGAATATTTACATACTAAATTATTTCGTTCAAAATAAATAAAATTAATTCAAATCTTTATATAAATAAATAATTAATTAAAATATAAGAATTTAATTAAAAAAAATAAGAAACTATAAAAAAATTACATATCTATCAAATAATTAAATATTATTAACCATAAAATAATTAACAGAAAATTAAAAAAATTAAAACAAAATATTTAATGGCAAAAATATAACAACAATCGATTTTCTTAACATTAAATTTAAATATAAAGATAATATCATCAAAATAAAAATAAAGAAGAAAAAACTGGAAATGGAATATTATCGAATGTTGACATATGGAGGCTGAATCGATTATTCAATCCCATCATATTTTCATATCCGATTAACACCATATCAGCCATGATTCACACCAGACCAGCCATTATAATTCACCCATTTTGTAGTCTGTGTTTTGAGATCTTAAATTTGGCCCATATAAACAAAGCCTAATGTCCATGGCCTGTTACGATTTATAAAAAATTCAAATCATTCATCACCGACTTTTTATACCCCTTATTTTTCTAAAAAATTTGAATTTAGGATAAAATCAATTAACTTCAAACCGTGAGTATTTAATTGGTTTGACTTGATTGTTTGATTTAATTATTAAGTTGGAACAAACTTAATTTATTATATTTTTATTTTTTTATGACAATTTATTGTCTATTTTATGTTGTTAGGGAATGAAATTATTCTTTATCCTATTGATTATTTTTTTTATTATTTAGCATTTAGTTTGTTTGATTTCCCTTTATATGTATACCTTTTTATTTTTATACCTAAAATATAACAAGTAGTAAACACATCTAAATCAAGACCCTTAAAAACATTAGATAAAACTATAAAATAAAAAAATCAATGAAAAAGAGAGAAACAATCATAGCAGAAGGAAAAAAAATCAATGCAAGAGATCCGAAAACTTAAACTTAGGTATGATAATTACTTTTGTTAAAATTTGAAGTTAAAGAAATTGATTTATTGTTGGCAAAAAATATCAGATTTATTTGATCCACTAATATTCTTTTCTCTTCACATCTTTAATTTGTTTTTTCTAATATTTTTCATAAAATACTCCTCTAATGCTCGGTAAAAGTTGATAAAATAACTAAATCAAACTAATTTAAAATGAAGATCTAACTATAAAAGGATCTAACAAATCCAATAGCAGATTTAGAAGAAAAAAAATTCTCAACAAAAGATTTGCATGCCAGCTACCTCGATTGTCCACATAACCATTAATTCACTTGCAAATTTTAACGTGCGAAAGCTGAAAAGTAAACACAGAAAAGCAGAATTTACATTGGCACCGTTTGCCAAGTCAATGTGTGTGGTTCTATGATTGGACCTGCACTTCCACAAACCATATGATGGCAGCTTACAAGCTTTTCTGCGACACGTCATTGCTTTGCATGTCACTTATCTTCCACCTCTCACACATACAGCCATATATAACTACATCATCACCCTCACTTCATTCCCACCTCAACAATTCATCACTCATGGAGAGAAAAACTTTCAGCTTCTTGCTCTTGCTCCTTCTTGTCTTAGCCTCTGGTAAGATGCATATACAATATACAATTCTTTCTCTCTCTCTATACGATGTTATTTATGATGTTATTTGAGTGATTAATGTGTTATGATGTGAAATCAGATGTGGCCGTAGAGAGAGGAGAAGCTAAAACTTGTATGATAAAGAAAGAAGGGTGGGGAAGATGCTTAATTGATACCACCTGTGCACATTCCTGCAGGAACAAAGGTTACAAAGGAGGCAATTGCAAAGGCATTAGGCGCACCTGCTATTGCCTCCTCGACTGTTGAACTTCACAACAAATCCCTTTTCTTATATTATATCATGTTATCGCAAATAAATATAGCAGCATCACTGCTGCTAGTACTATGTAGTTTTCGCTTCCTGCTGCTACTGGCTTTTAAGTTACTATATATATATATATATATATATATATATTGCCATCATATATGTTTTGTATATGTATATGGCGTACTGTCATGAGCAAGTATGATGTTCTGATCTGTTTATGGGTCCATCTTCTTGCTCTGTTAAGAGTGTAATAATAAATATGTAATGGAAAATATAATGGGCTTTTCTGTTCTTCATTGATGAACTTTCACTTGGAACAAAGACTCTGAACTGTGTTATACGTGAACACACCATCCAATACTTTGACTTCAAAATACTAGCAGTGCTAGTTTATGCAGAAGAAAATGATTTTTCACTTAACTTCTGATGGAACAACTATGGAGTTTCAATGTTGTGTCTGTTTTCTTTTATATTAAATAAGTAGTAGAATTACATTTCTCATTTTAAGAGGAAATACTGATAATAAACTTAAATTTTTTAATTTAATTATTTAATTTTTATAATTTAAAATGATTAAGGGTATTTGGTTACTAATAATTAATGAACTAATAATTAAAATAGTTTAAAATAACGAAGAATTAAAAATATGTCATATATAATATTGTTATAAAATAGAATAAATTTTAAATTGTTTCAAAATTGGCTATATGAAACTTATGCTCTTGGTCTTGTGACTCTGTTTCAAAATTGTTGTCTCTGCTTCGTCTGTACCAAATTCTTTATTTTCTATCTTCACCCCTCCTTTGTCCTAACTTACAAATTTCATCCTGATTCATCTTTCTTCTTCCTTCCATACTTTCAATCTAAAACTATATAAATTATTAATATTTTTAAATATGTTTAATCTAAAATTATATAAATTTGCATAGTAGATATTTTTGATGGAGATGTTTTTATGAGACACATTTCCAAGGCATCTTTATTGAAGCCGTGCAAGAATTCCAGTAAAATTGTGTTATGCATAGTAAAATTGTGTTAGAATTTTTGTTTGATTATCTATTCAACACTTATAATATTTTTGTGTTAGTATTTTTGTTTGAGTACACCATTCCATACTTATAATATAATGTATTCATTTTAAAACATGAACAGTCTCAATCTAAGATTTTTCATTTTGTTTGTGATTTATATTAACTAATGTGTGGGTAGGACCACACCTCGGATTCTATTGAAAATTTGTCTTGAAGGTGTTGTCAGTATTGAAAAATATATTCGGTTACATGTTTTTAAAGTGCTTTCTAAAAGTAAGTATTAATATTTAAAGAAAATACAATTTAATTATTTTATTTAAACTTTTCTGTGTTTTACATCATGAAATGAATTTATTTTCCATTAAGTACTTAAGTTCGGGTCAAACTGTAAGAAACTTATTAAAACTGTAATAAGAGTTATTGTCTGGCATCATTGGCTTAAAATTTGCAATGTATTACTTATCATTAAACAATACTTTCTCTTATTAATTGATTTTTAGTTAATAATGACCAGTGTAGTTATTTATTTAGACTAGAACTGAACTAAAAATATAACTAGTACATTATATAAATAATATTTAACTTTAAAGTGTATCATAAATTTTAAGTAGCATTTACTATCAAGAAATATTTAATATAAATAATTAACATAAATCTTAATGACATTTGAAGCAAAATTAATAATTATTATCAGTGAAATGTATTCCATTAATAAAATAGATTATAGAAATTATAAGGAGAAGGAAGATAAATACTACTTTTACATCATCACTCACGTGGTCGACTTCTATACTTTTATTCTGGATGATTTTCGGTCTTGATGAGAGTATAAAATAGAATCTGTAAAAGATTTTCTAACTTGTGAGATATGCAACTCACATTAATCATAGCTTATGTTTCTTAATTGTTAACTGTTATGTTAAACACATTTTGTGTGTGAAAGGCTAACGTCTCTGTGTTCTGTGTGGGCATGTGGGAATGAAGAGAGGAAAAAAAAGTGGTTGAATGAATCAACAAAAGAAAGAAAAAGACATAAATATTTGAAGTTCTACTTCTTCCGACTCTTCTTTCTCTTTATCGTTTGTCCCTGATTGTTTTATTGTGTTATTCTTCTTTTTTCACGTTCCACTTCTTCCTCTCATTCTTTAATTGTGATAAAATTGTGGTATCAGAGTGTGGTGGACTTTCATTAACTGGTGTGCTTAGTGAGAGATTCCAAGTGTTGGTGAAAGCAATTGATCAGCCATGCCAAGATCGGTGTGTAATGGTGGTGTGGTGGTGTTTGAAGGATTCGTCGTAAGATGCATAATAAACCCTAAAAAAATAAACTTATAATCTTTAAACGGAACGAATGTCAACATCCGTTTAAAGGAAAACGGATGTCGATAGCTGGTAGAAAGTGAGTTTTATACCGGTTATGATAATGCATATACTGATATAGATCCCTCTTTGCACGTTCTGCCGTTTTTTCTTGCTCTTTGTAGGATCACAACTATGACCAGCTATACTTGACCAAGTATGCTCTCAGCCAGTAGCTCCACCGCACAACCAACAAAATGCTTGACCACAGATACAGCTAACCAAGTTACAACCACCATTCTTCTCCACTGGTTTGTGACACTTTGGTCATGGTTTTGTATGAACGGTTATCCAATTAACAGTTTCTGACTCATCTCGACACTTCTTAGCCCAAAGCTCCCACATCAGGCATGAACAAGGTGAGTGTGCTTCTGACAAGCACCTAAAACAAAACTGTAAACCACATGAACATTCTACCTCACACAATTCATCATCCTCAACCCGTATTGCATTCCCACAATGAGGTGTACTGGGACATCATTTAACTCTTTTATTGTCTTCAATGTAAGATTAAAGAAGAAAGCGTTCATATTTCTCTGCCATATCAGGGTGCTTTCTACTGAGTAGAGTTCTAACCACAACTTCATCACATATGGAATTGCACTTGTGTTGCATGCATCTAATACGTTTACTTTGACCCTCATTTATTTTAACAATAAAATACTCAATCCAACAGGAGTTGCAAAAGCAATGACCACAATCCATTCTTGTTGTTTCGACCCTAGCAACATCCTCCATGCAGATGTAGCACATTACTGTNGGCATGGTTTTGTATGAACGGTTATCCAATTAACAGTTTCTGACTCATCTCGACACTTCTTAGCCCAAAGCTCCCACATCAGGCATGAACAAGGTGAGTGTGCTTCTGACAAGCACCTAAAACAAAACTGTAAACCACATGAACATTCTACCTCACACAATTCATCATCCTCAACCCGTATTGCATTCCCACAATGAGGTGTACTGGGACATCATTTAACTCTTTTATTGTCTTCAATGTAAGATTAAAGAAGAAAGCGTTCATATTTCTCTGCCATATCAGGGTGCTTTCTACTGAGTAGAGTTCTAACCACATCTTCATCACATATGGAATTGCACTTGTGTTGCATGCATCTAATACGTTTACTTTGACCCTCATTTATTTTAACAATAAAATGCTCAATCCAACCTGTAAAATGTAAACAAATACAAAACACGCTCATAAATGAAGTTTGCATAATTTTCATCATTGTTCCAAACCACAGGTTATGAATAATAAAACAAATACCCACAGGAGTTGCAAAAGCAATGACCACAATCCATTCTTGTTGTTTCGACCCTAGCAACATCCTCCATGCAGATGTAGCACATTACTGTAGAAGGAACGGATGAGTCAGAGTCGGGATGTTCATCCACATTAACACCAGCCTCACCAAAGAGAAATGCTTTCCCCTTGTCTACATATACTGCAAACAACTTCTCCACATCCCAACGATGATAAATTAGCAGTGTACGAGCGTGTTGCTCTCTTACCGATAGCATCTCCATTACTCTCCACAATTTCTAGTATCACGCACGAGATGTCTATATCGCGTGAAGGAGGTGTGTTGGAAGTCACACATCGACTAGAGAATAATGCCAATTCATAGTTTATAATTGGGTGCAAACCTCACCCTACAAGCCGATTTTGTGGGATTGAGTTAGACTTAAAAACCCACTTTCTAATAATATTTGTTATGCCTTAAACCCATTGACGAATGCTCACATCCGTTTAAAGTTACATGTTTATTTTCCAGTTTACTTTTATTAGTTTATTTTTTAATATATTTTTGATGTATTTTAATAATGTATTCTTGAAGATCTTTATTGTTATTAGTTTATATTTATATTTTTTTTGTATTTTGCAGTTATATATAATTAGTTTTTTGTTTTAATGTTTTTGTATAATATATTTTTTATATATGGTTTTTGTATTCTTTAAAAGTTTTATAATTATATAAAAAAGTATTTATTAGTTTAATTATATGAAATATATAATTTTATTATATTAATATTTTTGTAAGTGAGAATCTGAAAAGAGAGAAAAGGAGAGTTGGGAGGTGGGATTGAGTGAAAAGTAAAAGTGGATAGAAAGATAGAGTTTGAGTTTAAAGTAAATATATAGGGTTAAAAGTAAAAAAAGTTATTTTTGTAATTAAATTCTTTTTACATAAAGTTGGGGAGGTGGAGGGAGAAGTGGTGATGGTAGAGGAAGCAACAACCATATTTGAAACAGGTTATGAGTTGTTGTAAGGCAACATGTGGTGGGCCTGGCTAATGGATCACGCGGGTTGGGTTCCACTGGTTAATGGGTTTAAAAATGTAAAACAGCCCACCTTTTAATGGAGGATTGGTTAGATTAAAAATAAAATACAATAATAATGAAAGAAATTATATTGCATGTGAAAAATTTACATAAAATTTATATACATTATATCTAATCTCAATGAATAAGAAGTTTACCTACTTCCATACATTCTGAACTCAAAAATAAATCAAAAGAGTGGAATAGATAAAAAGGAAAATGAAGTGCTTGTTGAATGTGTCTTTTGCTTGTCTTAGTTTCGTTTCCACTCCAAAAACTCCCTCACTTTGTTCAAAGCTCGAATTTTTACCACATTATAACTAAATGTTGTATATGGGTAGTATATTCTCATGAAGTGTACATTCAACACTCTATTTAATTCTTTATAATATTCCTTTAATTTTTCATTTCATAAAAAATAAGAAAAATAATTAAAATTCTATTTTAAATGTGATTTTAAAAAGTTACTTATTATTTTACACCATTTTGCTATTTCTTCGTTTAATGTTTAAAAAAAAATTCAATGTATGATGAAAGTCAAAGAAGAATATAATTGAAAAAGAAGGTTATATTATCTTAATATTTTAAAATAACATTTAATAAAATTATTGAAAAAACAACAATAATAAGGAAAGAGAGAGAGTAAGGAAGTACCAACTATTCATAATTTGAATAGAGCACCTTAATGAATTAAATGTAACTCTTCAGGTTTAATTAATCAAATGACAATTATGCATGCTTTAATAATAGAGCCGTTTCAAAAACGTGTTTTAACTTTATTTTTTCCGAAACTATAACACTATTTTGGTAATTAGGTTTATTAAATTTTAACTAATCTATTTTGTTTTAACAATTCAGAACTTAAAATAGAACTTGTAATTTCTTTTATAAGTTTAAATTTCAAAAACCATATGTAAATAATTTGAAATCACCAAATTCATAAATTTGAATTTAATGTTATAATATTAGTATTTAGATTTAAGAAACCGATCATAACATTTTTAAAGTTTAAAGCTTTTAAAAATCATGTATAATTTTTTTAAAGTACTTAAGATCAATAAATTCAAAAAAATTTAAACTAAAATATTTCTTAATAGCAAGAAAGAATAGCCTTAATTAAATTTAAGTATCTCATAAATTTGTATATTTTAAATTGAGTTCATATTACATGTTTTTTCTATTCAAATTTTTTATATTTTCAATTGAGTTGTAATTATATTGTTTATTTTTTTTTATAACGTGGTTCAGATCCTGTATTGTCATCATGTCATGGTCTTTCATGTTAAAAAAAAAAATACAATATTGTGTAGTTATAATATAAAAAATATTAAAATAATAAAATTATTTATTATTTATTATTTTACATTAAATCATAAACCCTTGAACTTTTAACATGCATGCCAAACAAGGAAGCAAGATTGCAGATAATCATGTCTCTTAATAAACAAGAAAAATTAAATGAGAGGAACTCAACTGAAAAAATATAATAGCCTTGAATCCAATGTATAGAAAAAATATGATAAAAACTCGTTTGAAAATACACAATGCAAAGGGACTTGAAGTTTAATTAAGCTAAGCGTATATTTATAACAATTTTAAAAGTTTATAATATCAATAATTTATAACAATTTTTACATATAAATTTAAATTTAATTATTTAGAAAACAATTACAGTTATACACTTATACAATATAATAACCCTATCTAAAAAAAGTCTATAAATTCATAAGTAATTTACACTATCACATGTTTTTTTTTCTAAAAAATAAGAATATGTATACAATTTTTTACGTACTTACACAAACACAATATAGTTAAATATAGTTTTCAAATAAAGTTATGTTTACATCAATAAATTTTAACATTTTAATTATGTTAACGCTTCAAAGTTTATTAATAATATGTCATCTTTGATATATGTTCCATTCTTACGAAAAAAAATATACATACAATCAGTTTTCCATCTTAAAAGTAAAAATCACATTAAACCCATTTAATTAATGTAACAATTAAGCAGTGTACGTTATATTGATAAAGAAACCAGTAACAAACATTACAAATTTTAAAAAGTAATAGTCAAATTTCATCTTAAAATTTAAATTAGTTTTAATGTAAAATATTAATCACCCGTTGTTATTTTAATTAAAAATATATTAAACCCTTTTTTTATGTTTTTTAAATAAGACATTTAGTTATTATTTTTTGAAATTTGTAACGCTTACTTTTTTTTTATCAATATAACTTATTAACAAGTGCATGTTACATAGACCAACAAATGTTACACATTTAGAAAATAATAATCAAATTTCATTTAAAATACACAAAAATTTTCTTGAATTAAGTAATTCCCCAAATAGAGTTGCATCACGCACGTGTCATCTTTGCACGTGCAACTACATATCTCTGACCTCTTTCCATTGCATCATTATATAAAGAAGTTGATAAGAGAAAAACCACAATATATTCCCTTGCAAGTAGTTTCAGAGCTTGAAGAATTTTCATCGATATGGAGAGAAAAACAACATTAGGGTTTATGCTGCTTCTCATCGTAATCTTTGCTTCCGGTAAGATATTATATTCATGAACTTGTTTTTTGTTTTACTGAATGAAGTGTTGTGAAACTAATGAATGAAAGTGATGAAATAGATGTGGCCGTGAAGAGAACAGATGCCGCAATATTTACAGTGCCGAGCAAGACGTTCAAGTATGAATGCTTCAGCGATCCGAGTTGTGACAGTGTATGTAAAACCGAAGGTTATACCAGCGGCAAGTGCGAAGGTGTCCTTCATCGATGCATGTGTACCAAAACTAATTGTTGAAATTTATTCGCTTTTCTTTCAATAAAAACCCAACAAATCCATTTATCAACCATCTTATATATATCTTCCTCTCTCTCTCTACACACTTTAACCATTTCTATATGTTATTATAACAATTATTAATTAATCGCAACTCATTATTGTAAAATTTAAACTCTAAATTAGACTAAATTAAATTTCACATTTTGAATTGAAGTTTTATAAAATGTTTTCTGTTTATTAATTATTTAAAATTTTTATATTTTTAATTGAATTTCATCGTCTTAAAAAAAATTATATGCTATTAATATAAATTAATATTATTTTTTAATGTATATACATATATAAGATTAAAATAATTTATTATTTTATATTAATTACAATATTATTTTATATTATTCATAAATCTAATATTTTTAATATGTACAAAATACAAAATTGTAAGATGATAAAAATTATATTTCTCAATTAAGGAAAAAAAATTAAACATCAAGAATTTAATTAAAAAAATATAATAATTTTGAATCTATTATATCATAAACTCAATTGAAAATATACATAACAAAAATTTAAAACTTAATTAAGTCAATAGAATATTTATAACATTTTTAAAAGTTTATAATTTCAGTAATTTATAACAAATTTTAAACATGTGAATCTAAATTTAATCATTTACAAAATAATTATAGTTATGCAATTATACAATATTTACATACTTATATATAAAAAGCCTATGAACATCAGAAAATAATTTGCAAGATTGTATTTTTTTTTTCTAATAATGAGATTTATACATACATTTACATACTTAACCAAACACAAATGGTTAGATACATGTTGCATTCATGCTGGAAATCGGATTTCCATCTTAAAAGTAAAATCACTTTAGACTGGCTTAATGTAGTAATTACTCACTTAATGTAGTAATTAAGAGTATTCGTTTCTTAACCAAGAAAGAAACAAGAAGCAAAACGTTACAATACCAGAAAAAAAAGTGTTTTTTCCTCTTTGAACGTCTCCACTTCATTGTATATTCGTTTTCATATCACAATTTTAAACAAGATTCTTAATTATATAAGAGCAAAAAATATTTTTCTGTCTTGAAAATATATATTTTTCTATAATAAGAAAATAAAATATTAATAATTACATAATTTATTAATGATTTATCAACGAAAAAAATTCATCGATAAAAAGAATAATAAATTTTTCGCTCAAAACTCATGTTTAAGTCAATAACCTCCAACCACCAATAACAATGAGATCAAAGTTTTACCAGACGCCAATAACTCTCACATCAAAACATTAGCAACACAAAATATGAGTAAGTTGCGCACCACGCACTCGTTGGAAAGCCTCTATTGTGCAACCATTTAGCCACTGCGACATAAGCAGAAGCCACTATGAACCCGTTGGA